GTAGGGGAGATCCAGAGCAACTAGAACTTTCATATGCTGCTGCTCGGAGTGTGAAATGGTGCAACCACGCTGGAAAACAATTCAGTGTTTCCTTATAAAGTTCAGCACACACCTGAGGCAGTGATCCCACTCTGCTCTTTACCAAGAGAAATGGAAGTGAGACATGGATAGGCTGTGTGTAGGTAGATCGGAAGCTGGAATCACTTAAAAGCCATTCACCAGTGTGGGAACTGTAAAGGGTTAAATAATAGAAAAATTCATGTAAAAATTGCAAAGTAGCCACTTGGCAGAAATTCAAATTGCCCTAAGGCCAGCACTTAAAATCAAAATGCGTTCAAAGTTACACTAGGTGCTGAAAATTGCATTCTGATAATCAGCTGCATCACTTTGAGTGAGCTAATTGTGTGAGAACGTGAGGATGAGCTCTGACCAGTTAGAATGGGCACAGGACCCCTTTGTGTTGGGAATAAAAACCTAGCAGTACCTCCTCTGGGTGTTGGCCCTTTGCTCACGGGATGTACAGTGGCTATGTACCTTTCTGCAGAAATAAAACTTTTTGCCTTGCCAAAATATTTTGGACTGTGTGATCACTTTTTTGAGACCCCAAACTTCTAATACTAGTGTATGGTTAAACAAATTCTGGCCATTTATTATGTACATAAAGAACTATTAGTAAGCAATAGCAAAAGAACCAACCACTGATATGTGCATCGACCTGGATGGATCTTGAAAATGTTGCATAAGTGGGAAAGCAGACACAAAACATTCTGGAAGAGGCAAAATTACAGGGACAAAAATCAGATCACAGGTTACTAGGGGCTGTGAGGGGGGTGGATTTTCTATAGAGGAACACAAGATTATATTTTTGAGTAAAGAAAATGCTCTATGTATTTCAAAAACAAAAGCTGAGGAGAATTAGCTCATGGATGGATAACTCCTGGTGATGGTGGAGAATGCAGGACCCTCTAGGTGGATTCTGCGGCTGCTGGTGGCAGTTGAATAGCTGAGGATTTCACTGGGTATGCTTGTTAGAACTCATCAAACTGTATACTTGAAAGGAAGAACTTTTCTAGATGTCTTATATCTCAATAAACCTGCCTAAAAATAGTCTTCATAATAAAGGTAAGAGGTATGGATTTGCCTTTGTATATATGAATAGCTTCTTAGCAGTTCATTCCCCCAAACCTTGTGAATTTCTCCTTCCTGCCTCTTTCACTTGCTGCTGAGATTCAGGGTACTGAGAAGCAATTGGCTACAGGCCACTGTGTATGTAGGAGGGGGCCTTAGGGGGATATCTGTGTGCTATCCCAGTTCAGCTTTTTTATTATCTTTATTTTATGTGTATGAGTGTATTGCCTGCTTGTATGTAAGTGCACCCATGTTGTGCAGTGCCCACAGAGGTTAGAAGAGGGCATTGGATCCCGTGGAACTGGAGTTACAAACAGCTGTTAGCTGCTATGTGGGTCCTGGGAATAGAACTCCGATCTTCTGCAAGAGCAGCCAGTGCTCTTAACCACTGAGCCATCTCTCCCCAGTTCAGCTTTTGATGTTAACTTGGACAGATCACTTAATTCTCCTTAGGCCTACTGCAAAATGTGCAGTCCTTACTAGTTTCCCATTTGTATCTGAAAAGGAATGGAAATTTTCTAATATATCATATTGTGCTTGCACACCATGGAGTCTTGTGGCAATAGTGCCATGATGGTGGTATAAGGCCCTCTACCCTCCCATTCTTCCACCCCTGGACTCCACTGTACCTCTGGCCCCCACAAGCCCTTCTAAGGCCACACTCTATGGATGAGGCCAGGGGACAGTAGCTTCCCATGTCAGTAGCCCAGGCACTACTATATCTGGAGACCTGAGCATTTCCCATAGGTAGCTTAGGTCCCACACACAAACAACAGGGCAAGGCCCTCAGCAGAGCTCTGTCCCTAAGAACACCCCAAGCTACACAGTCCTGCAAACAAGACAACTGTGGACTGGGTTTCTGACTCAAATACCAGAACCTAAACCCCCATCCCACCACTTACTCTCTATTTTTGAGTAAAGAAACTGTTCTATATATTTCAAAAACAAAATCTGAGAAAATATTCTATAGTTTAAAAAAAAAAAAAGCCAAGAAGAGGAGAGCTAGTGCCTTGGCAGGTACCTCTTGGTGATGGTGGAGAATGCAGGCCCCTCTAGGTGGATTCTGCAGCTGTGGCTAAGGGTGAATGGCTTAGGATTTCACTATTGGCTCTGTGTGTTAGAACTCATCAAGTTGTACATCTGAAAAGGAAGAACTTTTCTAGATGTCTTACATGTCAATAAACTTACCTAAAATGTTCTTCATAATAAAGGTCAGGGATACTGAGCATTTCTAAGCAACAATTTTCCCCTCGGTAAAACAAGGTAACTAGCAAGATGCACCTCATAAGGTTGCTGGGTTGATTAAAGAAATCTGTGTATGTCAAGGTCTCAGGACGGTGTAGCAAGCACTTAATTGGTGTTAGTTATTATTTATTTGGACTTAGTTTGAACACTGGCACTTCTTGTGAGTCTTGACAAACATGCAGGTTTCTTTACTAATGCTCAGTGTGGGAGGTGTTCTGTCTTGGAATGGAGGGACAAGGTGCTCCTATCTGAACCTGCTTCTTGTCCCTTTCTAAAAGGGGGAAGGAATTCTCAAGTTAATTGGAAACCAAGACTTCTCCAACAAAACCAAAAGTCAGATTGAGGAGGTTACAGAGGAATAGCCAAAGAAAATACACTGCTCTGCAGGTGGCAGCTTCGCCTTCAAAGCACTGGGCACCCCAATTTCTAAGGAGGAAACAAGGTACCAAGTTGTTCCCATATGGATCCAAGCAGGGTTTTCTGGTGTCTAGGGAAGATTATAAATAAGTTCCTTGCTGTTCACATCAGAGCCAACCAGGGCATATTCAGTTTTTAATCTGGACCAATTTTACGGATCAAAAACTGGTCTTTCCACAGGATGTAAATGAGCCCACAGGGAAATTTTCCCTTGGAGTTTATGAAGTAGCTGTCATTTTAATCCAAGCAGCTTTCCAGCCTGAAAGCCAGTATCTGGATAAAATTATAAAGTAATTAAAAAAAATCCTTTCTCAGGCTGAACCTAGTCTAAACACACCTTCTACCTCAAATCCGATGCATTTCACATTCCAGATATATTTAAAAGGTAGAGTTTCCAAAACCAAACCCCTATCAACACTTCAAGGAGAACCAAAGAAGTCAGCACAACATATTGCTGGCACAAATATCTGAAAAAGATTCTGACTGAATCAGGTAGAAAATGTTTTTAGGATAGAAACTTCAAATAAAGAAGAAAGAGGAGGAACAGGAGGAGGAGGGGTAAGGAGGAAGAGAAGGAGGAGCAGGAGGAGGAGGAGCAGGAGGAGGAAGAGGAGCAGGAGGAGCAGGAGGAGAAGAAGGAGCAGGAGGAGGAAATAGGGTGAACCATTTGTGCAATTTTATACACCAGGCTTTGTACAGTACTTTAAAATTCTGCTTAGATGGATTGAAATCAACCCTTCAAAGAATCTCATCTTCACCACTGAGGCTCTGAACTGCAGAGGAGACTATGCACTACTCAAAAAATGTGGCTAGATAGTTTTAGGCGATGACATCTGCAGAATGTAATTGATTATAAAGTGTTTTTCTCAAGGAGAAAAGTTCCACAGAAGTCCTTTACTGAAATGCTTGAAGGTGTATGAGAGCATTCAAGTAGAGACACAATTTAATATGTTACCACCTACAATGTCTGCTGTTACCTCCCAAATGAACTGAACAGCCTGCAAATAGAATACAAGTATGGGGCCCGATTCTGACAATCCTACATTTCAAGTCCTGTAACAAGATACAGGTGACAACAGATACAACCTGAAGACCCAGGCTGTCTCCCAGAGCTGAAAGGCAACAAGTCCTACTGCTCCAGAAAGATCCTCAAGCAGTAAAAATATTTAAACAGCCAAATGGGAACCTGCCAAGATTTTTTTTTTTTAACCCTCCGATAAATTTGCCCTGGTTTGCTTCTTTCTTGTAGAAACATTTGTAAAGGCAGACTGCACTTTCTGTGAGGTTTTGCAGGCTGAATTCAGTTATATTGTTTTCCATTGTTCAGAAGATATAATTAATCCCATAAGACAACCCCCCACTTGCAAAGTAAGCTAAGAAAAAGCAGATTTTTTTCCCCTTCACAATTCTAAATATGGTCCTAGCCAACAAAGAGTAAAAATCGTTATTTGGAAGCAATGCTTAGAACTTTATTGTTGGAGTGTTCTACTTTGAATAATCTCAGGGCACAGGCGAAATCAATGTGGATAAAAACATACATTTTACCTATAGACCTAGAGGAAATGCGAGTTAATGTGGTTTCAAGTTCTTTCCGATCCTTTGTACTAGCTAGCCTACATGCATACATCTTTGTTTGAACAGCAGAGCAGACAGGAGTTCTGGGCAAGATCAGATTAACCCACTTCAAGCTCCACTAACAGCCTCGGGGTGGAAGAAGAGCCTAAAGACAGAGAGAGCTTCGGTCCTTACAGAATGCTTGGGCAGGACCAGAGGCAGGCGGGGGGCTCCAGGCAAACCTTCAGACACTCAACAGGAAATGGCTGGGCTTTAGGGGGTATGAATCCAGTAAGATGGTTAGAGAACCAGCAGACGCCTTTGGAATCCTCTACGCTTTCTCAGCCCTCTGTAATTGAGACACCGTGATCGCTGCCCCAACTTTTAGAGGTCTGTGGCCCCAAACAGAACCGATCACTTCTGCTGGCTCTGGAGCACAGATCATTTCTTTTAACAAATCCCCCTGAATCCGCCTGGGCTCGGGGAGGGCGAGGCTCGCGTCTACTCTGAGCCCGGCTCACAGCTGAAGCGAGCTGAGCCGGCTCTGGTCAACCGAGACCGAGGTACTGAGCTGCCTGCTTGGCGACCTCAGCAGGGGCCAGGACCCGGGAGCTCCAGAGCGGGCGCCGTGCCCCGGGGCGCACTGTGCGCAGTACCTGATTTCCGTAGCGACTCAGCGCCGAGTGTGAGGCTGGAAGCCAGGAGCCAGAGCCGGAGCAGGGCCGTTGGGATTAAATCCATTTCACCGCCGGCGTCTGCAAAGTTTCACCAAGTCCTGGGCGCACAGGGAAAGGGCGTCTCCTGGGGGACGTGGGAGATGCCGGTGACGCGCGGGTGAGGAGGTGACGAGGGGCCTGAGGGCTGGACCACGAGCCTCCCGGGAGTCAGAGGAGGCAGGGCAGCAGCTGGAGGTCGGCCTGCGGGACTGGAGCGGGCTCGCAGCAGCTGGGCTTTTCGAGGCTGGGGAGGGGACGCAGGAGGCAGAGGGGAGGGACGCACTGGCCACAGGAGGGAGGGCGGCTAGACCCGCAGGGGATGGAATTACAGTCCACTGCGAGGGAAAGGGGCAGGGTCTGAATCAATTCACTCCTAGTCCTTCTCGGGAGCAGATAGCCCCCAGCTCAGCCCTTCCAGGCTAGTGACCTAGATTGGGGGCCTGGGAGGGGCGGGCTTCTACACTAGCTGGGAAGGAGTTAGGTGACTGCGAGCCCAGGATCCTGGCCTGGGTCCTGACCCTGAACTCTAGGGATGCCTCCCCTTCCCTTTGCTGGACCCTCCTGTTTCCAGCCCCCCTGGGTGACTTGCATCCAGTTTAAACCACTTTTCCTAACACCTCAAAGGTCACACTAGTCTGGCGTACCGTAGGAAATGCAGGGGATGGGCTGTCATTTCCAAGTGAGGACGAGGGGGCGGGGCGGGCCAGGTCTGGGGCGCTAAGAAGATAAATGGGATTTAAAGCGCGCAGATGGAGAGCTGAAGCTTGGCCACTCAGATGCGAAGGCTGAGCAAAGATTAGGGCCCGGTGCGGGGGAGCAGGAGGTCCCCTCGCGGCGGCAGGTGGCAACTTGAGACCCTCCAGGGAAGGAGATCCAACTGTGGGATGATCCTGGCAACTGGGAGGCGTTCGCAAACTCCAGCCCGCTGGAGGACCGAGAATGTCCTCTGGAAAGGGGGCGCTCGCCGGCCAAGCTGGGACTGGGGGAAAGGAACAAGGCGGGTATCCACACTTTGCTCCTGGGATAGGGAATCACCCCTCCCCTCGTTTGAACGCTCTATTGAAAGAAGTTCTCAGTACTGCCCCAGAGGGGACACCCCGGGGCGCAAACTCCAGCACAAACTGACGTTCTGGCCCTAGGACCAGCGAGAAAACAGATATAATAAATAAACCAAGAGAAACGCGCTAAAAAGAAAACGAAGCCCTTGCCAGATCCCGGGGAAAGATCAAAGGACCTAGAAAGACCCCGCAGAGTCTGTGGTCACTCCCTGAGAGGTCTGCGGGTGATCCCGCCCCACCTGGCAGAGCTGTTTCCAGGCCTTGTTAACCTTTCTTTGAGAGAGCAGGAGGGAACATTGTTGACTGATTTCTACTCCAAGATTTTTACTTTTCAGGAATGAAGTATCCTGGCTAGAGAGCTTGTAATGAGCCTAATTCTGTTAGCAAAGCAAGAACATGTTTGCTCATTTGTTGACATTTTTCAGGCTTTTAGTTGTTCATAAATAAATCCAAAGTCCTCTTCAGTTTGATCATCCACAGTCTAAGCAGTGACACCAGGGTCTGTCCTTTTACACGGAACTGGTGCAGGAAAGTCCAGACTCAACTCTCCACTTTAAAGGTGAAGCCACGCAGTGGAATCAGGCAACGAAGTGTGACTGCAGAGATGTTGTATAGTTCACACAATAGTAGACCCTTAGGGCTGGTTATCTGACCGCTAGAGCTCTCATCCTCCCTGCTCCATGACAGCTGCAATCTGCTTTCAACTGTGGTGGGAGGGCATGCCTATTGGAATCCTCCTGTATCAGACAGCTCCCATCTGAAGAGACTTTTACATTAGACCTCCTGTAGTACCCAGGACTACATCAGTGTCTCAATGCAGCCACCTCCTATGTTGGTTCTGCTCTTCCCCACTTAAAAATTACTCTGTGATGCAGAAATTTGATGAAATAAAAGTGTTAGGATTAAGACTACCATATATACAATCTCTTCTGGGTGCAGACCGATTCTAGCTTGGTTTCTGTTGCTGTGCAATGAAACACTAGCCAAAACCAACTTGGAAGAGGACAGGGTTTACTTGGTTTGCAGGTTACACAGTTCAGTTATAGAGGGACACAAGGCAGGAACTGGTAACAGAGACTGTGGAGGAATGCTACTTGCTGACATGCTTAGTCTGGCTTGTTCAGCTCCTTTTCCCACACAGCCAGGGCCCCCAGTGGGCTGGGCCCTCCTACATCATTTAGTAATGAAAATACTTCACAGACATGGCCACAGCCCAATCTGATGGAAGAAATTCCTCAACCGAGATGCTTCTTCCCAAGTGTCTCTAGTTTGTATAATCTTGATAAACACTAACCAGGCTCTCTTTGAAGTGCTTTTTAATCCCCAAACAACCATAAGAGACGGTGTTAGCTCCATTTCACAGGTGAGAAAACTAAATCTTGGAAAGGTAAAGTAATTTGCCTGGATTCATGCAGCTTCCCTCCCAAATGCAGAATGGGATTCAATTCAGCTGCTTTCCCCAGAGCAGAGTGGGCTTTCAAGAAGACCAGGTGGAGAAAGGTGGATATAGAGAATGTCATGGGTCCCACCTCAAGATGAAGAGCTATAGGCAATCAATAGATGCCGAGGAAGGGAGAATCAGTTTTCTCCAGGGACCCCTAAACACAGGTACGCACGAGCACCAATAATGGGCTTGCATTATATATGTATATTTATAAAGGTATGTGTGTATATATATATATATATATATATATATGTAACAATAAGAAAGAAGAGGATAAGGAACTGAGAGGGAGTGGGAATAGGGTACATGGGAAGACTTGGTAGGGGACTGGGAGGTATGGAAATAATGCAACAATACTCATATATGAAATTCTTAAAAATTAAAAATTCAATTAAAATTCAAAATTGTAATTTAGCTAGATAAAATTCTAAGTGAATTTTATTTTTTTATACATTTCTTTAGGTTTTTAAATTTTGGTGTTGAATAACATAGTAAATAAAATATTCACTAAAATACAATAAAGAAAGAGAGGAAGGAAGGAAGGAGGGAGGGAGGGAGGGAGGGAGGGAGGAAGGAAGGAAGGAAGGAAGGAAGGAAGGAAGGAAGGAAGGAAGGAAGGGAGAGAAAGAGCAAGAGATGAGGGCATTTCATCCTAGCTCTGCCTGGAACAGTTGTTCCTAAAATGAACGGGTGGCATGAAACCACTGTTTCCCAGTGGGTTTTGTTGTTGCTGTTGTTGTCTTTTGTTATTTGGTTTTGTTTGCTTTGTCTTGTTTTGAGGCAGGGCCACACTTTGTAACCCAGTTTCACCTACTACTCATTTGCTTAGCCAAGACAGGCCTTTAACTTGTAATTTTCCTCCTTCAGTCTCCCCCAAGTACCAGCTTGCGTAGTTCGACTTTTAACTTTTTTATTAGTTGTTGAAACAGCACCACTAAATCTCAGCCCATATCTTTTTCAAATCCTTTATAAATTGCCTATTGGAATTGTGCAAACCTGGGTTTCACTTCTGGTGGCTCTACCAGCAGCTGCCCTCTCTTCCCAGCCATGAAGCCCCTTCTGCTTGTTTCAGATGGTCGCAGTTGATCTGGTTTCTTCAAAGGTCCCTCTTCTTTCTTTCTTGCAGGCCTTGTCTTTGATTACGTTTCATATTTTATTTCTGGGAGCCTCTAAACACTGGATCCTGAGGCCACAGAGTAAGACTTTACTTCTTGGCATCTGCCTGTTGCAGATCTAAGATGAGCTTTAAAATAAACCTAGTCCCTTCCTTTGCAATTCAAATCACACCCCCTGAGGCTTCCCTTCCTTCCAGTTTGACAACTAACTCATGGCACTAGTAACTCTGACAACTAACTCATGGCACTAGTAACTCTGACAACTAACTCATGGCACTAGTAACTCTCTTCCCACATTCAGGGGAAGGGAAGGGGGTGGGGTGGGACTAAAAAGGGCAAAAAGACATCAAAAGTGTCATTTTTTTTTTTTTAAGAAGGTTCAAATTCTCTTGTGGTTTAAACTCAATTAATAAGGTCACCAACAGAAGAGTGACCTGCCGACTTCGCTCAATATGACTTTACTCCACAAATAGATGTGAAGAAGAGAAGCAAATTTATCAGTTGGGGAGTGTTTAGGAACACCCCAAATGAGAGAATGATTGCAGCAAAGGATGTTTTGATTTAATTGACTTAAATAAAATTTTCAGTGTTTATCAGGAAAAAAGAATAGTGAAAAACAAGTTTATTAATCTACAGACCCTTCCAAGGCAGCAAATCTGCCTCCTTCTCACTAGCATTTGAATTATATTCATTGTGTGATGTCCTATTTATTTGTTCTTTTTTCTATTGTTTTCTATTGTATTATAAACAACACTGCAGTGAATGACCTTGAATGTGAAACCATTTGCACATTTTATAATAGACTGCAGAGTTCATTTTTAGATGCGCAGTCAAAGGTAAATGTTTTCAATTTGGACAATTTGACCAAAGAAAATTGTACTTCAATAAATAATATGAGCATTATTTCCATAAACTCACACCAACATAATATCTTAGTAAACTAGACATATATAATAGATATGCATATACATGGTACATATTTGATTAACACACAACATACACAGACATGCAAACAATGAGTGTTCTGCCTGAGGAGTTATATATATAGGAAGATGAACATAATACATAATTACTACCCAGATCAAGAAATAGATCATCCCCAGCACCCACCAAGCCCTCCTCTTGCAGCCTCTCTGGTCTATATTTTTAAGGGAAAATTCAAACCTCCCAGTCACTTTTAATTAAAATACACAAATAAAAGTAGATCAACAAACAATGGCAACATTTCCTCCACCCCCAATATGAAACAAACATCCATTAAGAAGAGGTCCCATTATGTGGAAGGCTCTGTGCTAAGAACACAAACAACATATTACAGAAAATACAAAGTATGATGCTAATGGATTCAGGAAGACTCAGTTTTGTTGGGAGAAGGAAAGAAGGAAATAGTTGTGGGGGCACCTGTTCCATACAACAGAATCCTGGACGTCCTAAGAATGCAAGCACCATGCTGGGGAGCCAGGGTAACTGTGTATTAGAAATAGTAGCACACAAAATGCGTGGACTCCTGCTGTGGATTCGTGTCCCTCCAAAATTAATATGTTGGTGCCCCAACTCCCCATGTGACTGGAGATGGGGTTTTTATGAGTCACTTAAAGAGGGTCATAAGGATAAGTGCCTAATCCAATGGGACTGTGGCATTATAAAAAGACACGTCTGCAGGAGGATTGCTGCAAGTCTACATTATGAGAGAAAAAAGAGGAATTTC